CTGCTCACTTGCTGCTCACTTGCTGCTCACTTGCTGCTCACTTGCTGCTCACTTGCTGCTCACTTGCTGCTCACTTGCTGCTCACTTGTTGTCTGCTGCCCTTCTACTGCTACCATTTGCCGCCCCTTCGCTCTTTGCTGCTCCTTCACTTTCTGCTCCCCCCTTTGCTCCGCCCACTTCACAGAGCTCGCCCCTGCAGCAGCTGGACTCCATCATCGAGCAGACTGCCCTGGCCGGCGTCCCGCCAACCGGGCTGCTGGCCCTGGCGCGCATGCTCCGAGCCCGCCTTTCTGACCCGCAGTACGTCCCCCCCCCCCTCTTGCCCCGGCTTTTGTTGCTCGCCCTCGGTCGTCGCCGGCTCCGTAGCTGACTTTGTCCCGCCCCCCCCTCGCCCTGCCCCGGCCGCCACAGGGCCATCCTGCTGGACCGCCTGGCTGACGCCCTGCACTCGGCCAGCCGGGTCATGCTGTCGACCCTGCTGTCCTGCCCGGCCGGGGTGGACGCCCTGGACACGGTCATCAGCCAGGTGTTCGACCAGCTGGTGGAGGTGCTGGATGCGCTGACTCCGCCGGAGGAGGAGGAGGAGGCGCAGGGGAAGGGCCGCCGGGCGCCGGGGCCCGGGCAGGCCGGCGGCCACACGCTCGGCGCCCTGGCCGGGGCCCTGCCAGCCGGGGCGGTCCTGCCCCTGGCGCTGGCCCTCTGCGGCTGGGTGTACTGCCTGCTCGGGGCGTGCGACCGGCACCTGGCCCGGCTGCGGGCCACCGGGGCCCGGCGCTCGGGCGGGGCCTTTCTGGCGGCGGCGGCGGCGCTCGGGGCCGGGCCCGGGGGGTCGGCCGGCGACGCGGCCGGCGACGTGGAGTCGGCCTGGCGCCGACGCGACGCGGCTCTGGCCCTGCGCCTGCGCCAGTGGCCGGGGCTCGGCGGGCCGGCCGGGCCGAGCCGGGTCCTGGCCCGGCTGGACCGCGTCCGGCGCGGCCCCAGCCACCTGGCCGCCGAGCACCCGGGCGATCTGTCCGGGCCCGGGGCCATCTTCCGGGCCCTGGTGGCCCTGTGCCAAATGCTGCCGGACCGCCGGGCGGAGCTCCGCCTGCTGGACCCGCCGGAGGCCATGAACAGCTCCTGGGCGCCGCCCTTCTCGCCGGCCGGGTCGCCGGACCCGCTGGAGGTGGCGGCCGGGGCGGCCGGCCAATCGGACCCGGGCGGGGCCCGGGCCGGCGGGGCCCGGCCGGCGGCCACCCCCGGCCTGGCCGGCGTCGCCTCGCCCCCGGACCAGCCGCTGGCCGCCCTGAGCAGCTACCTGACCGGGGCCGGGCGCCGGGCGCGCATCGCCGGGGTCCTGCCCCCGGGCGGGGCTCTGGCCCGCGGCGGCCGGGCCATCCTCAGCACCCTGCTCGGGGGCGGCCCCGAGCCCGACGCCGGCCGGTCCGACGGCCAGGCACCCGGGCCCGAGCCGCCCAGCCCGGCCGGCCGGCCACGCACGTCGTCCACCGGGCCCGAGCCCCGGCCGGCCGGCCGGGCGGACCACCCCCGCGCGCCCGAGCAGCCCGCCCCGCCGGCTGGCGCCGAGCCCGGCCCCGGCCCCGGCCCCGGGCCCGGCCCCTCGGCCACCGGAGGACCGTCCACCCTGCTGGTGGTCCTGCTCGGGGGAACGACCCCGGCCGAGGCGGCCGACTTGCGCCTGGCCGGCCAGCGCGCCGGCGTGCGCGTCATCCTCGCGGCCACCGGCCCCGGGCTGTGCAACTTCGCCGACGCCGGCCGCGCGCTGCTGCTGCCCTAGCGCGGAGAAGGCGGCCTCCGGTCGCCGGGCCTCCCCTCCCCCCCCCCCCGGGCCGTGTGCGCGGCCCGGCCGCTCGGTTGTCCGCCGGCGAAACACGTGAATACACCTGAACTGCCAACCGATCCCGGCCGCGCGCTGGCCGCCCGATTGCCCCCCCTCCCCCCGCCGCCCCGCGCCCTGGTCTGTGGGGGTCCGATTGTTGTGCGCGGC